CTTCCTCCGTAAACAAAACTTCGTGATGGATTTTTGAAGGACTGGTTTGCGCACAAACTGCCGTGAAATGAGTCGCGATCATTTTCTCGGCCTTCCCTGGCATGCCATGAAAGAGGTACGATGCAAGGAAAGCGACCTTTCACAAAATGCTGAGCGGAATCGATGGTTGCATTGTGGCAACATAGGTGATGACAGTTATGGTGAGTGAAACTGAAATACCACTTCTTCGAGGGCATAATGCGCTGCTTGGCCTCTCTGCTACTCTAGCACTGAGTTTGAGATAGATAAAAGAGCGATGGAACGGAGCAGCGAGCCCACACAATGAGCGTGTGAACAAGGAGCTGCTCCGATTGCGCGGCACAATGAAATAATTCTGATCTGGTTAACGTTCTTGTTCAACCTGTGCAAAGCCCAGATTTGAATGCTGATGACCATGCATTGTTTCAGAAATCTGCAGTCTGACCCGAGTTTCGTGGCTAAGGAAAGTCGACTGGACTTGCTAGCTGCTGCTGTTAAATGCTGGCAGGAGTATCCATCGGAGAAAATGGAATCAGTTTGGCTGTGCCTTTACTCCTCGTTTCGCGGAGCTCTGGAGAGCGAAGATGAAACCAGGGAGTCGTAAAATTTAATATTTTTACGACTCCCTGGTGGAAACGATTAATCGCCACCGCGGCGGATCACGCAGCTTGAAAGCCAACTTGCTTGAATGATGGCGACATCAGGTTCAGTGGAGTGCAATCAAAGAAGCATTGGCAAGGCTGAAACGAGCTACCTTCGTCCAGTGATTTACACTTGATACAACCTGTTCTTGACCTGTTCTAATAGTTTTAATATCCATCAAAATCCATCACGAAGTTTTGTTAACGGAGGAAGTAGTTTCGAAAGAGAGCATTTGAACCTGGAGGAAGTAAGTGGGTAATCATAGTTCGAATTCGTGATAGGATGCGTCGGCAGGAAAATACCGCTGAGCAGGCATCCAGGCAGGTACAAAGAAAACGAGATGTGAATAGTCATCACCGGTCACAGGAGACTTTGGAAGAGAGATCCTGTCGTCTTCAAAATAAGCGTGATCGGCAGAGGCAGCGCCGGTCAGAGAAAACGTAGGACGAGACAAATACGAAATGAACATAGGAGGCATGATGATGCTGATTCGCGTCGTGCTACTGCAACTGCGCACACGGAAGCTGTGCGGTCTATGATAGAGGAAAAGAATCATTCAATGGTGTCCTCTTTCACGCGTGAAGAGCGCCAGCGGTAACATGCATCATGAGCTAGGCAAAATAGCATAGTGTAGGGCCCTGAGCTTTCAAGCTCTCTCGTTTATACAATTATATCAGCGTGAAGAAGAGGTTGGTGCGACTTCGGCGATACTTGGTTTGGTTGAGCTGGAAACGGAGCGTCTCTGTAAGTTTGTATCCCTGGTGATGTTTGTGCCTGGAGAGCACTATAACGTTAAGTGGTGCTCTTCTGGCACAATCTTCCTCAGCCTACTCAAGCTCAACTGATGAGGGGTGAATTCCCCGGAACACTGTGGATTGAGCAGGGAGTGATGCTTTCTTGCACGTTTGCCAAGTGGAAGGTTCGATGGACTTCTCGTGTGCTCCTAATGGCAGTCGTGAGTCAGTCAACTGAGAATTCAAGTCGGCAGGAATAGCGCAAGCTCCCACATAGGGAGCAACACGCAATTCCCGAATTATATCAACGTTGGTCCCGTAGCTCAGATGGTTAGAGCATTGCTCATGACAAGCAAGGTCCCGGGTTCGAGTTCTTGATCCGTGTGGTGGTGTTCCTACTGGCCTCCAGTCGAGTCTCACGTGATCCGTGATATTTTTTAAATTGTATATCACAAATGAGAGTCCTTCGCCTCGGTACAGTGCTCAATATTCATTCGAATAGATTTGTTGTAAGCTAAAAAGTTCCATGTCCATAGGCAATCATCAGACAAATAATTATTATGAAGTTGATTGTTCCAACTAGGAACACACGCTTCTTGCCGAACTTGACACTTGACTGACTCACGACTGCCATCCGGAGCACACTGTGCTCCGGATGGCAGTCGTGAGTCAGTCAAGTGTCAAGTTCGGCAAGAAGCGTGTGTTCCTAGTTGGAACAATCAACTTCATGACTATTACCGCCGAAGTCGCAACTTCTAAGTACTAATTATTAGTTGTCTGATGATTGCCTATGGACATGGAACTGTTACAATGAATGATGAGTGGTGCTCTGTGTCGTGTGCAAATTTTATATCAACATGATTGTATGCATGTGTGTGTGTGTGTGTGTGTGTGTGTGTGTGTTTGGGTGGGGGGTGCATGTGTGCCTGTGTGCATGTGTGCCTGTGTGCCTGTGTGCCTGTGTGCCTGTGTGCATGTGTTAGCATGTGTGCATGTGTGCCTGTGTGCATGTGTGCATGTGTTAGCATGTGTAACAGGAAGCATACTAGCAGCTCCAGTCGACACTACGAATCAAACTCACTCCTTCTGGACTAACCAAGAACTGA